CGACGGGCGGCTCGGCTATATCGCGGTGTACACGCCGTGTACAATCGCCGCGATTCCGCTCCGCAAATCGATTTTGTTCGGCCACGGCGCGGCCGCGGCAGAACGAGCCGTACCAAATGTCTATTATCGAGAACGACGCAAATCCGATTCCGCGCGATTACTTTGTAGACGATTAATGCGTTAATCGAGCGGTAATTAATGCGTCCCGGTAGAAATTTCACCCGTTCACCGAGTGCCGAACCGAGCGAGCTCCCCCCGCTCTCTCTCGTGAGGGAACTCATCTCTCTGTCGTCTCCTGAAACTCCTCCACTCGTTAAGATTCTCGTATTTATTTTCGCGGAAACTCCCGTCTCGTAAAATGTTATGGCTGCACCGAGTCCCTCCCTGCGACGGAGAGAGGGTGAGAGGAGAAATCTGATATTCATTTAAGGGTCGTTGTAGATAACGCTCGGGAGTCCACAAAATATATTTATGATGTCCTTAAACTCCGAGTAAATTAATGAATTTCAAGGGAGAATCAGCGACTTGTGTGTTTCTAGCTAAATAACATTTCAGCAAATTTTTTTCTCTTCTGTGGACGGACCGAGTCTTCGAGAATAAATCAAAAAATAAAAAATAAAAATAAATAAAAAACTGCGATTAAAAGAAGAGAAACGAGGATTACCGTCACGTTGCGTAACGTAATGTGTGCTTACGTTAAATACAAAGCTGTAGCTAAAATTCCACAGTCGCTCCGAGTCGCTTCGCTACCATTAAGTCGAACATTCGTTCGGAGATCATTAGATAACTTGTAAATCTACAGAATGCATTTAATTGCTGGGCTTCGAATAAATTAATGTTTAAACGGAGAGAGGCGAGATATTTACTCGGAAGTCATTAAATAACTCACACAAGTCTACAAAATACATTTGTAATATCTTTGAGCATGGAACAAACTAACGCGTTCGAAAAGTGAAACAAGGATCGCCGTGGCGTTATACGCTACGTGCGTTTCTGCTAAATAAAATTTAGCGACTGACGTGTTTCCGTTCATATTTATATTTATCGTGTATTTCCGCCGGGTAAAATTTTACTTAAAATTTCATGGACGCTCCAAGTTTCCCTCTGTCGCGAACAAACAAGATACACTCTCAGCGGTCGATATAAACATGAGCGTGATAATTAATGTAACTTGTTATTTCACGGGATATATTTTCTTTCGTAATCCCGGAGCTTCGAACGAATTAATGAGAGGGGGAGAGAAAAGGTTACCGTCGCGCGTTACACGGTGTGTTTCTGTCAGCTTTATACCCCGCGCATACTTCGGCGCTGCAGGTGCGTCGAAGTTCACCTCCCCAAATAGCTAAAGTTATTATCTGTTATCGCGTAACCAGTAGATTAATATCGGATGATATCAGACAATAATTAAGCGTTGCGATCGTTAATGCGATATTCCGTTAATCCGATCGTCCGCCCGCGAAAGTTTATCGCCCGATTTTTACACGCCGATAATTCATGCATATGCAGGACGAACGCGCGAAATTGGCAGCTGCATCCATCTTTGTCTCGATATTTTTCTATTCGCGCCGCACGTTGTCCTCCTCGCGGGACGATTTTATTTGCGGACGATATCGCGCACTTAGGCTTTCATTCGCACCCGACGACGGAAAAATACACGGTTATTTATACGCATTTACACGCGGCAAAAAACACGTTCGAATATAATTAAAGTAAACGCTTATGTCTGTCGCGGGGTGGCGACGTTTAATTAAACGAAAGTATTTCTTCTCTCTCTCTCTCTCTCTCTCTCTCTCTCTCTCTCTCTCTCTCTCTCTCGCACTCGACGGCGTCTTCTCTCTCCACGTGGCGACGTGCGTGATATGCACGCACATCAGTCGCCATGCAGAGGCGGGGTTTTATTTATACAGATCATATGTTATTGCATAAATTTCTGTGTGTAATCACATTTCGAATACTACTTCTCGCTCGGGCATTAATTCCAACTCGATTCCGATATTTTCTCCGCCGGGCCCGCGTCAACGGGCAGATACCGTGCGCGGCGATACCGCGCGTTTGACGCGCGATTATTCCCGATAAACGCGATATACATTAAGTCACACGTACGCACATGAATGGTACTTCGTGTTGCGATCCAGCGCAGATTCAGCGGAGAATCATGGTTCGCTCCATAATGCGACCGCGTGCGATTTCCTGGCTCGATCACGGGGCCGGCCGGCGCGCGTCAAGTCCCTATCTAGCGTATCGCGTAACGCGGACGCGCGATTCGCGATAAATGACAAATGAAACGATCGACTCGCGCGATCAAGCGAGAACGAGCTCGGCTGAGATCTCCCATCAAGCGCGGGACTCCGAATTAGAATTTAAGCGGACCGCGCGCGGCCGCGTCGTCGTCGCTCGATCTTGATTTGGAAGGCCGCGGGTGTCCTCGCGATGCATAATTATTACATCGAAATCAGACGCATCTCCGCGTCCTCCGCGCGTCCTGCGACCGCGGCAACCGTGACGTTCCCCGCCGGCGCGCGCCGGTGAAAGAAAGGAACGCAATCGATAAAGGTGCATCCCCCACTGCGTGCGTGTGACACGCGGCTGCGGAAACTGTATGTGTATGTCGGATATGTGGGTCACCCGATGCATTTCCTCGCAACCCCCTCGCACGTAAACAGCTACCGCTCGCACCGCGAGCGGGAGAGTATCTGAGAAACAGAAGGCGTTTTAACTCGGCGAATGCATTAGCAGAACGTTCCGGCGGTCTCGTGTGTGAAAAATTAAACAGGAGCGAGAATTTTCAGGAAAGATGTTACAATCGATACATGAATAAAATGTCGTTGACACACGAATAGACAATTGATCGTTCTTGACGCCGAGCGTGGCGCGCACCTTCGCGAGCGATTTCATCACCGGAGGAAAATCTTTTCAAGCATTTCTGTGCAGTCCGTTCTTCCGGCGCGTCTTCTCCGCAAATGCTGCGCGCATATCTTGCGACACGCTTCTCACGCGAGATTAAACGCGTCGGGCAAACATCCTCGAATTACACTCGATTCAACGGACGCCTTAAAAGGGTGATTAATCCAAGAGACCATGCCGCGGCAAAGTTCACCGATTAACTCGCGCAAATCCGCTCTGCCGACAACGCGCGCGGCCGACAATTCTCGCGGCAGGATTCGACGACTCGGAGAAAAACCGCGCGAACACGTTTTTTGAGATCACCTGATATTAACAACACGCTCGCTCGCGTTAATGCGCGCATTTTTCGCGCGGGGGAAACTGATTTTTCCGGAAACGAGGAAACGGACACTCTCGCCGGATAAAATACAGCTTTCGCGGGAGCGCGATTCTATCCGTTTGAAACGAGTGATTTGGATGTCGAGCGGATATGTTATTACTGATACCCGCCGTAATAATTTTTCTTTTGTTTCTCCCTTCTTCTCGGTACACGTTTGCCTCCGCAGCTGCAGGACATCGCGTGCATCCTTGGGAAAACTTATCGCGCAACTTGTCGCGTTTCCGCTTGCATCGTCGCGATCAATTAAAACTGGCGAACTACACCGCGGAATTGTAGTTCGTAGTTCGTGTAACACGATCCGTGACGTAAGGTAATCGCAAAAATGTCGCTTAAACGAACTTCGCCTCGAGCTAATGCGGCCCCGAGGTCTGGCGATAAGTGCCCTAAATTCGTGTTGAAATTTTTGCGTCTACCCTCCGCGTGTGAGAGAAAGAGAGAGAGAGAGAGAGAGAGAGAGAGAGAGAGAGAGAGAGAGGGGGGGCGACGGATACTGTATAATTGTAATTGAACCAATTTAAAGTTGCATGAAAAATGTTGGCGCAACTAGGTCGAACGTAACTTTGCTGATAATTATTCACATATACGCGGGCCGCGTAATATTTTCTTTTTAATATGGAAAAGCGGTGTAATCACATCGTCGTTGGCCATTTTCCGTGACGCTGATTGGCTATTTCGATCGCGAGATCGTTGCTTGCCGCTTGATCGTGAGTTGCCGTCCCATTGCGGAAGAATTATGCGCTTTGACGGGGTCTGAAGGTCAAACGAGGGGAGTTAAGTGTCGGAGGAGAGAACGCACAATATTGATACCGCGAGATGAAGAATGTTGTTGAGTTAACGAGTAGGTAAAGTGCCGGCTCTCTCGCCTCGGCTGAAAGTCACGTGACCTTGGGGACATTAATATACGCACGTACGCAACCGCCGAGCGATCATAACAGTCCTTGACGCGAAGGTGAACACAATTCGGCGGACGTCATTTCCGATTTTCGCGGGTCGACCGAAATGAGAGACGCGTCTCGTGTAATTACCGTGCCGAGGTCGTGTCTCTTTAACAATGGCAGCCTCGTTGAATTTTCAAGGTACTTAGCGATTTTCGCACGGTTGGGAAAGTTACCCTGGAAAAGTTATCGTTATATATACTCTCGCTGCCTGTTACCCGAGTAGAAAAGTTTCCGGGAAAAAACGATCACGTGTCAGAAATTCGTAGTTTCTGCTCTTTAGACTCTACTGGATAGTATAATAATTGTTAAAAAAGCTGCGCAAAAGAGCACCGTGTTGAAACCGTTATCATTATTCGAGAAGCATTGAATCGCCATAATTCCGTTACTTCTTTCATCTTGTGCTTTGAGGATCTCTTTTTTTAGCAGAGGGAGACAAAGAGAGAGAGAGAGAGAGAGAGAGAGAGATTTATTTCTCTCTCTCTCTCTCTCTCTCTCTCTCTCTCTCTCTCTCTCTCTCTCTCTCTGCCTATTCTGTTGCTCAAAAAATGTAATTTAATTGCGTTTCCGTTGTTGTTACTCTCACTGAATAAAAAGATAATGCTGTTATCGAGTCGTTGAAAAGAAAGAACTTGAAACGGCGTTACAAACGCGTTACTTTCAACTCTGAATTTTGATTTTCATCCGCTCAAGAGAAAAGTACGCTGTCTTGAATTTTGAATGTGAGCTTGTGATACGTGACCTCTCCGTATAATTAACCAGGAAACTCGCTTTTGTTTCAGATCTGGCGGAGATTGTGGCCACACGGTGGATGTAATTTCGGTGGATGTGGATGCTGGAAAATCCGGTTCGAGCCGAGCAGGGTCGGCTTGAAGGTAAGTTTGCATATTCCTTCGGTTAGCCCTTCGCGGCCAAAAACACGAGAGAGTCTCGGAAAGAAATATGATTATGGAGATAGAGAAATCTTGGAGAGTTCCGATCGCAAAAGGCTAATGAATTCTATATCTATGCGCACCAATTTCTCAACCTGAACTCTCAGATTTAATCGATAATCTTTTGTATCTTTTTGTTAGACAGATGGCAGACTGGAGGCAAAACTAGGCCGGCCCTGAGTTCCGGTATATTTCGGTGAGTGAAAAAAATGATTTGGGAAACTGAAAGGTGGCGGGTGTTTTTTATAAGACTTGTTGAAATCGATGCGATCTGCTAACAAATATTCGCGTGTTTAGGTTTTCGCTTTTACGCATTGAGAGAAAAATATTTAATCACACGAAAATTTGAGTCATTTTCAGCGTCAATCATATATTTTCTCTTTATTCCGACAAAAAATGTATCGATATTCAAAGCTATTGACGCTATTATAATTAATATTATCGCTAACTCCCTATGGTGGAGCACTTACTATAGAAATTGTCTCCCTGTGCTGTGTAACTATATAATTAAAAATACCAGACATTTTTTCTCGACATATGTGTACGCTGTTGTACGAAAAATATGCTCGAAATAATCGAGGGGTCGTTGGTTCAAACGTCCATGTTGCCTAATATTAATATTTTAGCTATAAAATATTTCATCAGTATTCCATTATGGAATTCTCTTATTGCACACATGCAGTCTTGGACTTTAATAAACGTTTATTTATATAAATGTGATAGCCCGACTGTGCCTAGTGTGAAATTTCGTCCGGTCCACTATTATGCGCATCAAAAGTGCGCCGTGTTATTTGGCTCGCGTCGATAAATTTAGCAACCGTCTCGCAGACATTACTGTTAAATTTCGCGCAGGCACAATCGCACAATTGCTATTATACCGCGTGAGGACGAAGAAGATGGAACAAAAATCCGCGAAACCCGCGGCGGAAAAACAAATTTCAACGAAGATCCACCGCAATTTGGTTTTACAGTTTCGCAATTGATTTCGCAGTCGTTGTCGCGGTCAATTTTTCGCTCGCTCGTTTGTTGCGCCCGTTTTGCAAGTCACGCGAGTGTATTCCCGAAACGACGAAACATTTACCGTGTCGATAAATATTTATCAAAAGAATACGCGAATTTTTGTTTAGTCTTTCGTTAGTCGGATTTGCTAATTCCGTTTCGCGACGCGAAACAAGATCATCGCGATGTTCAGTCTCCGATACTCCATGTTTACGTTCGCATCGCCATTGTGTTTTTCACGCGCGATTTTTTGCCAAGTTAAATACGACGAGCCACTGCGAGCATAAACTTCGCAGAAGTACGACGGAGTAAAGTTCGCAAACACATTGCGTCGGAGAGTAATCATCACTAAGCTGGCTGCCTCGATACTTATCGCGCGGAACTATCGCAATTTTGCGTGAGATCTTCACATCACTTTCGATTACTTTGCTCGCCTACGATGTTGAGCATTTTACGATCGACGTGATCGCCGTTCAATTCGTGAGTTTCTCGCGTGATTCGCGGGTGTGTTTCCGAAGTGACGAACTTTGTTGTACCGCGAGTATACGCCTGAGAAGTGACAGACATACCGGTCGTGTCGCGCGGTAAACACTCGTCGAGCGAATTCATTCAAACGAACTCGTAAATTCCGTTCCGAAATTAATCAGTAGCGGATCACTCTGAGATCCTTCGTCATTTCGTCTCGTGAGACATTTGTTCTTGCAGAAACGTTTATCTTGTACTATTTTTTTTTCTACTACTTTTTTATTTTAATATCGAGTAGAGGAGCTCACTCAGAGTTGGACAAAAATTATTTAATATGGTTAGGGACGTAGATAAAATTAAACTTGGCAGGTTGACGCCGCGTCTATAGGATGCATTGCGCAATCTCGCGTAACATAACATCCGCATCTCGTTGAAGATGGAAAAAAAATGGTAGAGAGGCGAAAGAGTTAAATAATACGACGAAGTCTATTTTTCTATATCAATTCGTTCTTTCCGTGTGTGCAGCGATACATCGGAGGAATACACGCAACTGCACTTTTTCTTTAATAGGACCATATTTCTTTCGCATAAATGGATTCTTCAGAACACTCCTCGTGCATAAAAGTATTAGAGCAGGACGCTCGGCAAATAAATATTTCACGAGATACTTGAAACTTCTCTATGAACACGTGCTTTATGCGGAAATTTCAGATGTCCTGTAAAATATTGATTCGTCGAGTATTTTGCCCTGACGCTTTTATGCACAGGACGTTCGGAACAACAATTTATTTATGCAAAAGTAGTATGATTCCATTAAAAGAAAAATTGCGTGACGCATCCTGCATACCAGTCTCCAGTGTCGCGAACCACGAAGTATTAAACGATAAATTGTAATAAACGATAAAAGGTCGGATACGTACGAAGAAATTTCTGCGAATAAACAAATCCTGCCGTAAAGAAGTGCCGTATGTCGACGAGGTGACCCTGAACCGATTAATCAGAAGCATTTATCGCGGAGTCGACGATTCGTAAAACGTCGTTAAAAATACAAATATCAATCGCGTCGCGAGTGCAGTGCAATGAAGTGAAGTGAAGTGAAGTGAAGCGAAGCGAAGTAGCACTGTCAACGTGGAACCATACAGAGCTGGCTACGCAGTTCGGGATGTGGCGGCGGGTTTCATCGATGAATCTCGTTGAACGACGGCGGATTTCGACGTAACGACATGATGAGTGTTGAATCTCAACATTCGCACAATGTAATTTAACGTAGTGCATGCACAATAGCAAATCGCATCGAGTCCCGACAAACAGAATAAGGGCAATTCCGTATGAAGCGCTAAATAATGCGTGTCTCAACATTTTTGGGACACCTTGTATGCTTCTAATTAAACACGGATACTATGGTACCGCTAAGGTTACAAGTTATCGGAAAGATTACTTCAGATGCGTCTGAAATGAATGTCCCAATTAGCGAACAAATAATCTCACCGTGGAAATAAATTAATAATTTAATGATATACGCGTGTTATAAGTTAAGTACACAAAGTTAACTCTGTCGGTTTTGAATATCCGGAATTTTAATCGCGTTGTATTTCAAATTTATGGATAAATTTATGGATAAATTCGAATTTACTCATAATTTCTTCTCCGAGAAATGACTCTCGGAGATATCGTTTAACGACATGACAGTTTAGCTCAGTTTTTTTTTTTCAGTCAACGACACATTTTAGTTTGATATTAATTATCGATTTCTAAGATGTCGTCAAACGACTGCTCGAATCGCCAGCATTACGCTTGTAATTAATCAGCTTGTAATTACGATATTCCGACGTTCTATGCGATAGTCCGACAATTTTGTCCGAAAGTTGTCAAGCGATGATATAAAAAATTTTAAACAACACACAGTTTTGGCAGCAACACAGGGTCGTATTAGCTGATTTATCAAGGAAAACTGCTGCAATTGTCCCAAGTTAGGACACTGTCATTTAATTGGGAAATTCACCTCGGGGATCAATGGCGCGCGATAGCGCGTGTTCGTAAAACGTCCGGTCTCTCTCTCTCTCTCTCTCTCTCTTTTTTTTTAATATCGCGCGTCCAATTTAATTCAAACACGCGCTGCAGTTCAATCGTTGACACGTTAAACGTAAATCGAAACTCGCTCGGCAAAACAGCAGTCGCTACATATATAGCCGAGCGTTTAATAACTAAATTTTTTTTATAATAGCCGAGCGTTTTAATAACTAAAATATTACTACAGCCTTTCTCTCTCTCTCTCTCTCTCTCTCTCTCTCTCTCTCTCTCTCTCTCTTTTCTTTCTCTCTCTCTCTTTCTCCCTCTGGTCCAGCTAGAATTCGGCTTGCACGAAGCTAAGTCCGCGAGGGTTTCGGAACAAAGGCTCTCTTTCCAGCCGCATCTCCCGTTGCGTTGACTATGCATCTTGAGTGATTCAAGCTGCACAGTCAGACTTCGCGCGTGCACATAAAAATTCACGTTGCGGCGGATAAATGATTCCTATCTGACTATCCGGAACTCGTTTATGGACTAAAGTTCCAAGCTGCAGCGGCGGCAGTGAGGTGGTGTCGCAAGGGAGGAACGGAGAGCCGGCGGAAAGAGAAAAGAGAGAGAGAGAGAGAGAGAGAGAAGGGAGGAAAAAAAAGATATCGATACACCCTCTCGCGAGAGAACCACCCTCGTACTCGTCCCGGCATCCGCGCGCGTTCGTTGATGCACCTACGAGCACACGAATTTACCCCCATCCACCTCCGCGAACTCTCTCTCCCTCCATCCCTCTTCTCGCGCGAGCCCAGCTCGACGTCACAATATAGAATGCATTTCTGTTTACGGCTGAGCCGTTTCGCGATCCCTTTTGTACTCGCGTTCTTTTTCGAGCCGTACTCTCGCGCACACCCCCAAGCCCCCTCCCCACTTTCCTACCCTTCACTCTTCCTCCTCCTCCTGCTCTTCCTGCGCCTCTTCGTCCCCGTGTCCTCCTTCTTTCCCGTCCAGCCGTCACTACTGTGCGTTTATCCACGCCGGGAATGTTTCGCGCGGCGGATGACGTGCGTCCCAAATGTATTCCCGTATGCAAATCGCGCGGAGAGACGGGACTCGCGAAAAGCCCCGGATTATCTCTCTCTCTCTCTCTCTCTCTCTCTCTCTCTCTCTCTCTCTCTCTCTCTCTCTCTCTCTCTCCCTCTAACGAGGGTTAGCGCGAGAATGTACCGAGATATTCGGGTGACACCCGATGTTCGAGTCGCGCACGTAGCAATTGCGCTGCTGGCGGTGATAGTTCCTCGCGTTATCGCGTCGAAATATCGGATCGATTTCCGCAGTTTGAGGCTGGAGTCGATGTAAAGCAATATTAGCGGTTAATGCAAAATAATATTGGCGAATAGCGAGTGGTGTTAGTTGCTAATAGGCGCCAATCGGCGAGTTGATCCTTCCTCGGTCTGTGCATAGCGCACGATGCATTAATAAACCTCTGCGTGACGCATAATGATCCGAATGCATCATCATACGTCATATACAGGGTGTTCTGAAAAAAGGATTCAGGACTTTAAAGGCAAATAGTACTCACAAAATGGAGGGAAAAAATCCCAATAAACACGGGCCGAAAAATTAATATTGTCAGGGTTATGATTATTTATTTCAATTAAAGCGAGTGACCTACTTCCGGTGCTTACAAAGTTTACAGAAAATTTTCTAATCGTCCTCTTCCTACTCTTTTACGCA